AAATTATAGCCAAAAAAAAAAATCAGACCAGAATACATTTTCCCACATGCTTTTGAGAGACTTCAGATGCGTTTATGCTAAATTTAGTAAGGCTTGGATGTTTTGCTTCGTAAGAAAAGGCATCAGTCTTGCCACTCTACCCCATAGCCCAGCCATATGAGAATACAGGAGATTGTCACATGTACCACACAGCCAGTACTTGCCAGATATTCCTGCAGGTTCTTTAATGTTGCTGTAGGCCTCTTGGCAGCCTACCAGACCAGTTTTCTTCTCATCTTTTCATTACTTTTGGAGAGACATCCAGTGCTTGGTAATGTCACTATTGCGCAATATTTTCTCCACATGACTGTCTTCACTGTGTTCCATGGTATATCTAATACCTTGGAAATTCTTTTGTACCCTTCTCCTGACTGATACCTTTTAACAATAAGAACCCTCTGATGCTTTGGAAGCTCTCTGTGGACCATGGCTTTTGCTGTAGGATGCGACTATAAAAATGTCGGGAAAGACCTACTAGAACAGCTGAACTTTATTTGGGGTTAATCAGAAGCACTTAAAATGACGGCAGGTGTGTACTGACTCTTATTTAACATGATTTTGAATGTGATTGCTTTATTCTGAACACCGATACATCCCCAGTTATAAGAGGGTGTGCATACTTATGCAACCACATTATTTTAGTTTTTTATGTTTACTCCCCCCCAAAGATTTCAGTTTGCTGTTCAACTGAGTTGTACAGTTTATAGGTCACATTAAAGGTGGAAAAGTTCTGATATGATTCATCTTAGTCTAATTTTTTTACATCACAGAAACTTGACATTTTAACAGTGGTGTGTAGACTTTTTATATCCACTGTAGCTTGGTGTCTGCACTGAAACTGTACTTTCCATCTTCCGCCATTCCACTTTCCAGTAGTTTCTGACCTGTGACTGACCTGTCTGCACTCATATTCTAATTCCCCTCCCCAATCCTAGTTTAAAATACTCCTCTAGCCTTCTCATAAACCTCTCCCCCAGCACAGCAGAGCTCCTTCCATTTTAAATGCAAACCATCTATAGCATACAGATTGTACCCCAATGAAAAGTCAGCCCAGTGACTTAGAAACCTAAATTCCTTCCTCTTACACCAGGTCTTTAGCTATGAATTCAGTTCTCTAAGCTACCCCTGCCTTTCCCAAGTTGCGCATGGCATAGGCACTTTTCCAGAGAATATTGTAAAGCACCGCACAAACTGTTGGCGCTATATAAATCCTGTATAGTAATAATATAACCTTGGAGGTCCTTCTCTTCAACTTGGAGCCTAGTTCTTTAAATGTATTCTCCATCTTTCACGTATGCTGTCATTGGTTCCAACATGGACCAAGAGAGCTGGGTCATGCCCAGCGCCTCCCAGTAATTTATGAAATTGGTCCACCACATGCCAAGCCCTGGCACCAGGGAGACCGGAAACCATTTGGTTGAGGTGATCCTGGTGACAAGTTATTTTTTCTGAATATAGAATTCCTGATTACCACCAACTGTCTAGGCCAGGGGTGGGCAAACTTTTTGACTTGAGGGCCGCAATGGGTTCATATATTGGACCCGGGGGCCGGACCAAGAGTAGATGAATGATGTGTATGTGTGAATTAATATAAATTAAAATTTTACTTACCTTTGCTCCGCGCGTTCCTCTCGCCATGTTCCCGCGCCGTTCCGATCTTCAGGGCGGACTGTGAGAGGAGCCTAGCTCCCCTTACGTTCGTCACGCTGCCCCGCCTACACACATCCTGACAGCCAATCACTGGCTATCAGGATGTGAGTGGCAGCGAGACTGGCCAATCATTGCATTTGAGCGCGCTGAATGATGCAAATGTTTGCCTGCCCTGGCTGTTTTTTTTTTTTGTATCACGCTCCGCGGGCCGGATTAAAAGGTCCGCCGGGCCGTAGTTTGCCCATTGCTGGTCTAGGCATTACCCTCACCCCCCCTACTAGATTGGCTGCACTCTTGGATGTTAGGGACAGCAGTGACATCTAGGGCTGCTACCTCTGGATTTAACACCTCTACATCTTCAACAAACCTAATTTTTTTTTGATATTTAAAGAACTGGCCTTCCTTTTCTGTGAGCCTCTACCACTCCCTTTAGCTACATTAACCCATCTTCCTACCTGAACCTGACTTATCCCTCAACCCTCCACATCAACCCCATTATCTACCTGCTCAGCGAGCAAAAAACCTATTTCAAGGTTGCCCGTTCTGCTCAGCATTGCAATTTGCGCCTTCATATCTCTAATGTGAGCTTCCACAATCGCAACCTGCTCACATCTGTCACAGCAGTATTCATCCTGGAGCTTTGGCTCAGTTATGACATGCCGTGCACGGAGCAAAATGTTCAACCTTACTAGCTCTTTATCCCAGTTACAGTATCATTAATTACAGGAAACGTAAGATGTAACTTACAGGTAACAGTAAAGTTGAGTTTGCATTTAATTTAATATCACAATTTTCCTTATAACATTGCACAAAGTGAATCCTTCTTTAAAAGGTTCTAAAAAAAATTGCTGTAGGTTTCTAAAAATCAACCCTGGTAAATTTGAGAAGACATTTAAAATAAATGTAACACACCAATCTAGTACCTCCAGTTAAAAGCACATCAATACAAATAAAGTTCACAACATCAGTTTATGTGCCACTGTATTTACTTATTTGCAACTCGAAAGACTCATCAAGAGCATCAAAAATTAATGCATGAAAAAAGGCTCTTAATTATCCATAGCCGAAAAGTGTGAAACAGATTTTTCTGTTGAGTATGGATGCCAGAGGGTGAACAAACACAGTTAAGACTATTACGGGGGATAGAACCAAGCAACCATAATAGAGAGTGTGATTGATGCTGGAGTCCTTAAGAAATGGCAGAAGGCGAGTACTAAAACAGCTTGTAGTCCTTGTCTTTACACATTGCACACAATCAGGGTATCAAAGAGCAAAAAAAAAAAAGAAAATATATCCAGAGGGAAGAGAAAAAAAAAAAAGTTTTGCCTGATGGATTTGGCAGATTTAAGAATATAATCCATAATTAATGCTTGAAGACTGATTTTATGTACATCCAAGAGGAGTCTGCCTAATTATTCAAAAGTATAATACATTTTATTTAGTTTTTCTTTATTAAACAATATACAATCAATTTTGGATGTGTATAGGTACAGATCTTTCTATTGATATTTATTGTAGAGCAGATTTGAAGACCCCTTGAGGTAGTGTATTTACTGAACTTACTAGGAAACAAGACTGAGGTCCAAAATATAGCCACCTCTGCAAACCCTCGAACTGCTAAGCACAGCCAATTGACCAAATTACACCTATTTTACCAGATTTTCAACATTGAGGTCCAAACACACTATTGTGTTGTGGTAATACAGAGTAGCAGTGCAATGCACAGTGCTGTGTGTAACGAGTTGCCACAATGCACATTTTACTAGTTTTCAATGGTACCCCAAAGCACCTATGCAGCGCAGCACAATTCACTTTCATTGTAGTGCACTGCAATGCACAGATGTGAACCATCTGTGCTTGATGGCTTGCAGAATTAAAATATAACACGTACTTTTTTTTAGGTGCACTACTAGGTAATGAAATATGAATTGGCTGCCTTAAGGCAAACCAAGTGTGAATGGGACCTGTTCATGATAGTTTTAGACATGCCTATTAAAATATGGAGAAATTGTAGTGATGTACAAACAGCTGAAAAATGATTATAGACATCTCTGAGTTTACAGTTATATTATTTTCCTTTGATAAAGATGCAAATGTTCTCTATGTTGTGTAATGATACCTCTGATATAATAAGAGGAAAATAACATGAATATTTATAGTCCTCAGATGTAGCTTGTCCTTGGTCCATAACAGGGCCAGACAATTATGCAAGAGCTCTGGATTGTGTTATGAGAAGTAAGCAGATACATGCATTAAACTATTGTTCAGATTCTTTGTTGTAAGTAAATGAAAAATGTACCAGTTGACCAAGAAATCAACTAAAGGGGTAAAAATATAAAGTAGCATTAGGCTATACCCTGTTTGGGGGGGGGGGGGGGGGGGCATCCAAGGGAAATATTAAAGTAAATGGGGACTGCATTGTTGCCATGGGTAAACATTGAAATTTTTAAAATTTTAGTACACTGGCGAATGAAAGCAGAATTTAGCTTGGTCCCGACATATTTTCAGCAATACAAATGAATACATTTTCTTGCAATGAAGAGTGCATGGCCTGCTACAAGAACATATGCTGAACACCACCTTTTGGCACTTATGTGTACAAATCTTTAATCAGGTAAAGTCAAGATGATTTCAATAGGCCAATGCCCATCACTATTCTGTGCACTAATTATTTTTAAATAAAGCCCTCAATGTCATAGGTATCAAAAGAGGGAGAATATAAAAGAGAAAGGCATTTGGTCTAAAAAACCCACCACCACTCTAAGGCACAACTTTAGTGGCACATTATAATGATACATTAAAGATTAAAAAAAAAAAATCCTTTATATTTTACAATGAATATATGTACCGCTTTTGATTTTCTATTAACAATCAAAATATTTTTGCAACCTAATATACAATGTAATTGTGTAAAAAATGTACATCTGTTAAGCTGCAATAAAACAAAATAAAAATTAATTTCAAATAAAACTATCCCTCTAGGTCCAAAAATGTCCTAATATATCTGCAGAGTTAAAAAGTGAGGATATTTGCACATCAAAAAATAAAAAGATAAGAATAGTGTTGTTGACAGCCATTAAAAACTAGATTGGCAAAATATAAAAATTACAGCTTTAATTTAGGAGGTCGCAGATGCGAGCATCTAGTGGAAATAAGGCACTTCTTGTGCAGGCTGCAGCATCTCAACAGAAGTATTAAAAAGGGATTATGAATAATGCTCTGGTAAAAACAAGAGGCTAGAAATGATCCTGGAAGCAGGGAGACATTTCAACAGTCAGGGAAGACACAGGAGGTAAGATGAAGGTGGAGCTCTACACAGACGTGGTCAATCTGTCAATGGAGTTATTGACCTCATTTTTGTTAGAGTCCAGTCCTTTAGCAGCATTCAAAGTGGTACGCAAGTTCTCCACAGTCTTTTTCATTGACTTTAATTCCCCAGGGTGCGGCGTAGCTCGTCTTAGCAGTGTTGCCTGAGAATTAAAAAAAAAAAAAAAAAAAAGTTAAGAGTCCTGTAATAGTTTTGTATGCTATAAATTGATAAAAAGTTAAATGAAACACTGCAATTTGCTTCCTCAAGAAGAAAAACTATATACCAACATATACTGCAAACAACTGACAAATTTTGCACGTTTTAGGAAATCTCCCCAGTTGGTTAACAAGCTTAGAACTCCTAGCTGTAACTGTAGACTCATACCAGAACATTCCACTAGCAGACTGACAGAAATCATGCACAGTGCTTCGTTTGGCCTGCAGTAGTGGCCAGGTCAGTTCTTATTACTGTTATACCATGAACCAGATTTGTGGCAGGATCAGCTGACATCACCCCAAGAAAGATTTGGCCACATATCCTGTACATAAAGTGCTTGAATAAAAATGCAGATACAAGAACTTACAACATTGCCCATCTGTTGCCAGTCCTGTTCAGATCCTTGTAAAATATAGGGTGACCCTACTGACCTACTGTCCAGCAAGAACCCTAGAGATAAAATATATTGCCGTTTCAGTGAGCAAATATTTATCCAACTCAATAATGTACTGTGTATAATACTTGCATAAGAACCTGTTATTGAAAGTGAGGAGAAAATGGTGGAAACCATTATGAAGTATTATAATAATAATGGCAACAAGAGGGGATGGGGCCAGTGTGTGGTGCCACACATAACAGACCCATCACTTATTCAGGACTCTGTAATTGTAACAAGGCCAACAGTTTAATTGCAAAGGTAATGAATATGCCAAATAATTCAGACAACATTTTCATACACATTCCCAGCAATGGGATAGTGGATTTATTTTCAGTCCAGTATCTGACAGTGGAGTGGTGTTACAGTGGAGACACCAGTTAAAGTAGAACTTCACTCTCTCAATTAACATTGACTATTTTTAATCATTATGCTGCTAGCATTAGTAAATAGATGGGAAAGTATGTCAAATTTCACATATTTTTTTTTTTACATTTCTTCAGTTACTTCCTGGTTTCCTGCCTAGGCACATGTCATCATACATCCCAGCAGTTTTCGTGAAGGGAGGGTTCTCAGCTGAGCCAATGCCTGAGCTAAGGGCAGATGAATTCCAGGAAGTAAATGCTACATGAATCATCTGCCTTTACTCAAGATGGCTACTGTCAGAAATGCTAGGGAGGTGTTTTTCAAAACTATTTCTCAACAAAATAAAACATGGAGACATGAATTGAATACAATGAATTAAATAGCATTTTTGGTTTGTGGTGCTCAGATGCAGTGCAGTTCCACTTTAACAAGCCCACACCTCTTAACTGTAGACTTTTACCCTTGGTGCATGTACTGAAGCTTACACTAGCATACTAATGACAGAAAACACGCACAATGCTCATTTGGCCAGTAGTAGTGGCCAAGCCAGTTTCTATTAATGTAAAACAAGCAGATGATGTCCCTAAGGATTATTTGGGAAAGGGAAGCATCCCAAATCCTTTTACTGTACACAAAGAAAAGCTGTTTTTCGTAAAGTCTCTTGGGTGTAAAAAAAGCACAAAGAATTTGCAGTCTACAGGTTTCTGTGATTGTTATAATCAAAAGGAATTAAGAGGAAAAACTCTGCTCTTGGGTGCAGTGAAAAATTGATTTTTTTCTATATACTTACCTGTAAAATCCATTTCTTGGAGTACATCACGGGACACAGAGCAGGCTATTCATGACTATGTGGGTTATAGGACACCTATAGGTGAATGTACACTGGCGGACCAATTAGAGGAGGTCCTTCCCCTATATAACCACTCCTATACAGGAAGTACCTCAGTTTTTGTAGCAAGCAATGACATTCCAGAAAAAGGGGTGGGATGTTCTTTATCATACATCATGGGACACAGAGCAGGCTATTCATGACTATGTGGGATGTCCCAAAGCAATAAGAAATTTGAGGGGAGGGTGACACCATGATGGCCACAGTCAATCCTTCAGGACCTACACAGCTGTTCGTAAAACACTACGGCCAAAAGCAGAATCCTCTGCGGCTCGGACACCCACCTGGTAGAATCTTGTGAATGTGCGAACCAAAGACCATGTAGCGGCCTTGCAAACCTGAGCCACTGACACCTGATGGCGGATTACCCAAGATGTTCCCACACTCCTGGTGGATTGTGCCTTCACCCAAAAGGGTGGGACTTTACCTTTCAAACCATAGGCTTGAATGATCAATTGGTGGATCCACCTTGGATGCTGCCTGCCCTTTCCTAGGCCCCTCTGGCAGCACAAACCTGACCTGTGCTGTCACCTTCAAGAAGACAAATCACATCCAAGGTATGCAGAGATCTCTCTCTTGCTGACTGAGACCCAGCAGAGAATGAAGGCAGAACTATATCCTGATTGAGATGAAAGCCAGAAACCACCTTTGGTAAAAAGCACGGCTGAGATTGCAACACCATCCTATCATAATGCAAAACCAGAAATGGTTCTCTGCAAGAGAGCTGCCAACTCTGACACCCTTCTTGCAGATGTGATTGCAACTAGAAACAACACCTTACGAGTCAACAGGACCAGTGTAATCTCTCCAATAGGTTCAAATGGTGGCTTTTGCAAAACCTCCAAAACCAAGTTCAGGTCCCAACGACACAAAGGAAGCCTAAAAGGAGCCATAGGCATTACTCCTTGTAAAAAAAAAAAAAAAAAAAAAAAAAAAAAGTGCGAACCAAAAGAGTGAGATGCATTGGGCTTCTGGAAAAAAAATAGCGAATGCTGAAATCTGGCCCTTAAATGGTACAAACAGCCAAATTCTTCTGCAACCCTGTTTGAAGAAACGACAGAATCATGCCAATCACATACTTTCATGGGTGCCATTTGTGAACCTCACACCAGGCAATATAAGCCTTCCAGGTTCTGTAATAAATGTTCCTAGAAACTCCCTTTCTAGCACCCAACATGATGGGGATAACAGAATCCAAAACACCCCTATCCTTCAGGATCTGGGTTTCAATGGCCATGCTGTCATATTTAATGACAGTAAAGCTGGATGCAATATGGGACCTTGAGACAACAGGTTTGGCCGATACGGCAGGGCCCACGGCCTGCCATCTTCACTATGCCCACATACCAGGCAATCCTGGGCCAGGCCAGAGCAATCAGTATCACTGGAATAGACTCCTCCCAAATCCTGCGGAAGAGACGTGGCAGCAGCTGGATCGGAAGAAAGGCATAAGTGAAAACTAGTCCAAGGAATCGCTAAGGCATCTACCCCTGCCGCACGAGGGTCCCTTACCCTGGACACAAAAAGACCGACCAACGTTGTTGAACCTGGATGCCAATAGATCTACATCTGGGCAAACTTCTTTCAAAACATCGGGATGCAAAGCCCATTGCCCTGGAATCAACTGTCGGTGACAGATAATATGCCTGCCAATTTTCCACACCTGGAATGAACACTGCTGACTGACTTGGAACATCTCTCATTACCTAGGTCAGAATGTAGTTCATCTTCTGGGCACCTCGACTCCTGGTACCGCCTTGGTGGTTGATGTACGAGACTGCTGTGGCATTATTGGACTGAATCCTTATAGGCCAATCCTGAAGCCTGGATGTCCAATATCTCACAGCCAGCCTCACTGCTCGAAGTTCCAGGACATTGATGGGAAAAACCCTTTCCGTGGAAGCCATGTGGACTGAACTGTGGCCTCCTCCAGAATGGCCCCTCAACCTGAAAGGCTTGCATCGGTGGCTACCAACTTCAACACCACTGGCTGAAAGGATCTTCCCTTCTCCAAACTGTGAGTTATCAACCACCAATTCAGGCTTGGCTGCACTCTGGAGACAGAGATATGCAGTAATCCATTGCCAGAATCTTTTTGTTCCAAACAGACAGGATGTACCTTTGCAGCGGTCTGGAGTGAAATTGAGCACAGGGAATAGCCTCGAACGAGGACACCATCTTCCCCAGCAACCTACAGAGGCAAATTGAAGGAAACCTCATTCCTCAGGGTGCAACTTTGCCTGAACCGTGTGTCTAGGACCATCCCCAAATACTCCAGGCTCTGCACTGGTTCCACGGCCAACGTCTTGAGGTTGAGCACCAAGCCCAGCTGTTCCAGGATCTGCATCGTAAGGACCACATCTTGCTTCACATCTGGCACCAACCAATTTCTGAGCAAGAGATAACCTATGACCAATACTCCCCCAAGTTCTGAGTAGCCCCAACACCGGAGCAAGACTTTTTGTGAAAACTCTGGGAGCCGTGGCCAGCCCAAACGGTAGTGCTATGAACTGGAAATGCTGAGCCCCTACTTCTAACCGCAGAAAGCTTTGGTGAGGAATTAATTAATATCGGTACATGCAGGTATGTGTCCTTGATGTCTATGGACACCAAAAAATCTCCCTCCTGTAAGGAGGCCACTACTGACCCAACCGATTCCATACGAAAGGATCAGACATATAGGAACTGATTTAGCCTCTTGAGATCCAAAATGAGCCTTACATCCCCATTTGGTTTTGGGACTGTTAATAGGTTTGAATAAAACCCCTGAAATCTTTCGCCCGCTGAAATCGCTGTGATTACTCCTTGCCAATAGGTAATCGAGAGCCTGAAATAAAGCTCTTCTTTTCGCTGGATTTGTTGGTACATTTGATCTTGGAATCCGGGGTGAAGGAAAAACCCAAAATTCTAGTTTGTACCCCAGAGAAATTGTGGACATTACCCATTTGCATTGGATTAGAGCCCCCCCATGCGGCTACAAAATTCAAAAGCCTTCCCCCCACCCGATGGTAGATGAGGGCCCAGCAACCAAAGCCCCTGACACCTTAAAAGAAGGGCGTTTGGATTTCCTCTTAAAGGGGTAGAAGAGTACTTTTACCCCCTGAAATCTTTTGGATATATTTAACCAAATATTTCCCAAACAGCCGTTCCCCATGAAAGGGAAAAGACCAACAATTTTTTGCATGGCAGTTCTGCTGACCAATTCTTCAGCCACAAAACCCTACGCATGTGCACTGATAAGAGGGCAAGCTAG